ATGATAGAAAATTGTTGCCAACAATATTTTAGGAAAAGTCACCAAGTTTGGTCATTCTAGCCCTAGCCATTCAGACGCTATGTGACATCAACGTTGGCGCGGGCACTTTTAGCCCCCCCCCCCGGTCTAGATAGGGTTAAACGTCTGCACAGAAAAAACTCCCTCGTCTGCGCGAATACCTTCCTCGTCTGCGCGAATACCTTCCTCGTCTGCGCGAATACCTTCTTCGTCTGCACGAATACCTTCCTCGCCTGTACAGAAAAGGGTATCCGGAAAAGATGGGCTAGGCTAGGGCTACCTTGATGGGCTACCCGTCCTTAAGTGGGACACCCACGTTGCAAGATCAGTGGCCAAAGCTAACTCAATGCTTGGCTTTGTAAAGCGAACTGTAGGATTCCACTCCAACACTGACATTCGGAAAACGTTGTACCTTTCTCTTATCAGAAGTGTGCTTGAATATTGCTCTCCACTATGGAGCCCTACATCGCGAAATCTCATTTCCCTTATCAAGGTTGTCCAGCGGAGGGCTACGAAATTCATCTAAGGGCCCTCCTCTCGGCAACTCGACTACAAGTCACGTCTAGCCTGTTTGGGCTGGCTGCCTCTGTCTTACAGAAGGGAGATTTCCGATGTGGTAACACTTGTTAAGTCTCGTGCAAAAGTGTATGATACTGACATATCGAGGTTAGTCAACTTCTCGTCTAGAGTTCCTCGAAGCTCTAGGGCTCACATGCTGGTCCCACCTAGAGTGAAAACTTCGTGCTATGCCTCATCCTTCCTGCCACGAGTCATAACAATATGGAACAAACTGGACGTCGAGACCACGGCGCTGGGAGCTAACGCGTCGAGTCCAACTGACGTGGCGGCTTTCAAGAAAAAGTGTCGGTTGTCCATGCGCAACAGGTTCGACCAACATTTCAGTGTGGACATTCCGTGCTCTTGGGTGCTGTCGTGTGGCTGCACCTCCTGTCGCGCTACGAGGCCCCGTTAAGCCCAGTTATTACTGCTTTAACATCTTGTAAATTTGTATATATTGTATCACTGTTTTGTATTTTTTTTAATGCACATTGTCTATTTATTTGTGGGCATGGTGGCCTTGAAAAGGTGCACTTAGGTGCACCTGTTCCACCATGCCCTCCATGTATATTATGTATGTGGTTAATTGTAATAAATAAATAAATAAATAAATACCCTTTCTGGGCCCAAAGGATGTGCCTGTGGGTTTGATCTCCATAGTCATAGGAAATATGTTTTTGTTATGAAGAAAATTCCAATTCTACAATCAAATGTTTTAGAAGGGAAGGTGTTCGGGAGATGATGGAAATTTTAGACGTATAAAAACTCGATAATGACAGGCTTATAATCGTTGAGAGAGTAATGTTAGGGTTAGTATTCCATGGGGGAAACTGAGGGCCAGGGCAAGGAGTTCCACTAGGGGATAGTGCCCGGCATGTGTTCCTTGATAGGCTGGTATTTAAATGAATAGCCCCCACAGGTGTGCCCCTAGGAGGGCTGCAAAAGACTGTCACAGTTAATACATTTCAGTAGCTAATACAATGAGCCTTTTTTTATGGTAAACTGATTCAGAGGTAAAAAAGATGTGTGTATAACAAAAGAGAAAGAAGAGTATAGTTTAGCAATTTTAAGAAATTAGACAGACTCTAAGATGGTATACTAATATGTAGCACTGTAGGCCTAGGTGGTTAAGTTAATATCATTTGTGGCTGTATTTATTGTTGCCTCCTAGGAAAGACATTAGCCTGACTTAACACAAGCTCGCTGCAGGGTTCAATGACCCCCGCCCCAAGAACAGTCAGTCAGTCAGGAGTGACTAAACTACAGTGACCCAGACATGCAATTAGCAAGGCAGATTATAAAATGATAGTGTCTTTCTCAAAGATTCAATTCATCTACATGCCCTACATGTATACTTCATCAACTCTTAGTCTTACATGACAATTTTTTTTTGAAACTCAAGCCTGAAAAATCTAACAATTATTTACTAACCATATGGCATAGTACATACGTTCACATACTACAAAGAAACAGTTACTGGTAAGTCTAATTTTTTTTTTCAAACAAGCACATGTGGACACTCATGCAGTACAGTGGGACCAGCTTCAATGCCTTACTTTGTAGCCTCAGAAAACGAACCCTACCTCTCTAGCCATGCTGACTGGAACTAGGATTAACATTCCACGCCTGCCATTATCAAGTTTCCATATATCCAAGCAGATGTAAGGTGTTGGCTGGTTTCATGCATAGTTTAGCAAAGTTTCAATCGTCTCCCATACACCTTCCCTTCTATCTAGTTTAACACAACATTTACTGTATTATTAGAATTTTTTCTTCATAAATAAATACATAGTTCCTGTGACTAAATCTTGCTCGCGTTGATAAAAGCAGTGATTACCGCCCCCAAACAGCCCACCCACAGCTGTAAAGACAAGTAAATTTGATAGAGATCGAAACCCCATGCACATCCTTTGGGGCCCAGAAAGGGTAATCTCCAAGCAGATCTTTTGGTGGGGGTAAGACAGTATCAAATTGGCCAGTCTGTATCCATTCCCCCACCAAAGATCTGCCTCCAGTCGAAACGTCAAAGGCTATTAACACCTAGTTGTTGCCTGATCAAAATATCCTTGCCAAGTAGTTTATTGCCCTGACCACCAGGCAAGGCTCTTGCCCTCCTAGTGGGCCAGCTGGTTGAGCATTACTCTCTATGGGTCCCCTCACCAACTGTTATTTTGTTCAGTTTAACTAAAGGAAAGAAGGTCCAACATATGTTTGGTAATATCTGCGGTTTTGAACCACAATGAGCCCAGTTATTGACATTTCTATGTTTCAGCCAGCATATTTTAGTACCAGCATACAGTATTATCTGGACAGGGTTAGGTGAGAACTCCCACTGAGATGTGCGCGGGTGACTGCATTTGTCCCAGATTCAAGCTATAAACCGCTTGTAAAAATCTTAGCACAACAAATTTTTGATAGTTGTTAATAGGGACACAAGGAGGGGCAGCAACACCATTTTTGAAAAGAAGTGCTCCTCCCTGTTCGAGTGCCGGCAGATCTTGGGTGGGGGAATGGATACAGACTGGCCAATTTGATACTGTCTTACCCCCACCAAAAGATCTGCTTGGAGATTACAGAAAGGGTAGCCCATCAAGGTAGCCCTAGTCCTAGCCTAGCCCATCTTTTCTGGATACCCTTTTCTGTGCAGACGAGAAAGGTATTCGCGCAAACGAGGAAGGTATTCGCGCAGACGTGGAAGGTATTCGTGCAGACGTGGAAGGTATTCGCGCAGACGTGGAAATTACTCGCGCAGACGTGGAAGGTACTCGCGCAGAGGAGGAAGTTTTTTTTCTGTGCAGATGTGGAAGGTATTTGCGCTGAAGTGGAAGGTATTCGCGCAGACGTGGAAGGTATTCGCGCAGACGTGGAAATTACTCGCGCAGACGTGGAATGTACTCGCGCAGACGAGGAAGTTTTTTCTGTTCAGATGTGGAAGGTATTTGCGCTGACGTGGAAGGTATTCGCGCATACGTGGAAGGTATTCGCGCAGACGTGGAAATTACTCGCGCAGACGTGGAAGGTACTCGCGCAGACGAGGGAGTTCTTTCTGTGCAGACGTGAAAGGTACTCGCGCAGACGTGGAAGGTATTCGCGCTGACGTGGAAGGTACTCGCGCAGACGTGGAAGGTACTCGCGTATACGTGGAAGGTACTCGCGCAGACGAGGAATGTATTAGCGCTGACGTGGAAGTTATTCGTGCAGACGAGGAAGGTACTCGCGCAGACGTGGAAGGTATCGCGCAGACGTGGAAGGTACTCACGCAGACGTGGAAGTTATTCGTGCAGACGAGGAAGGTACTCGCGCAGACGTTGAAGGTATTCGCGCAGACGTGCAAGGTACGCAGACGTGGAAGGTATTCGTGCTGACGTGGAAGGTATTCGTGCAGACACGCATGCCTGTTCTTACGGGCCACCGTAAAATGCCTCGTGGTTATTGTACAAAGTAATATGTTAAATCATTGTTACGTACCATTGAGAGATTCTTCTTACAGTATGCTTTTAACGTGGCAAGTCTGCGGGATTGTTCCTTCTCAGCTTCTGCTAAGTTACCCCAGTCGTCTTGAAAAAGAAAGTAACACGTTTGCAAGAAAAGGCGCGTATGCTTCAAGATGTTTGTAAGATTAAGACACTTGGCATTGTTTGGCAAAAGAAATAGAATTATCAAAAATATTGCTACCATATTATAAGATCAAGTACTATTTGATTTATAGTATTATTTGATGTCAAAATACGTCATAATGATATCGAAATTGTTGATATTATTAATTATTACTAGTACCCCAAACAGATACACACACACGTACAGGAATGCATAAACTTTACTTACCCCTTTCCCTATAGCTGGCCAGTGCACCAGACACCATTTTATTTAATGACAGATCTCCTCTGCTGTAGCTGATGTACAGGTAGGCGGCTCCAGTACTCAGAATCAAAATGGACAGAAATAGGAATTTGGAAGTCGACCAAAAAGAAACCATCTTTATTATATAATAACGTTGGCTTGTCTTTTTAAAACTAAGATGATGAATTGAGTGTAAGTGACAGATTTGCCTACGATTCAACACGTCGCACTTAGTTCGTCCAAAGTAGATTCTGCGAGGAGCGATCTGGATTGCACAAAGTCTTCAATTGTCGTTTTGCTTTGACACCTGCAATTTAAAAGAATTTTTGGAAGGGAAAGGAATAATTGCTCCAGAGTTACAAAATAACATCAGTAAATCAACCAATACCAGGATGTGACACGTATTCGGCATAAACCACTACAACAGTGAACAGGACGGTAAGAACACGGCTCAATTTAGAGACAAAGGAAGATCTTTATCACCGCAGGTACGCAAGATTCGTTTTCCAAAGTTACCCCAACAAAGCCCATTTTCGCACTTGAACTTGGTTTCCTCAACTGTAACCTGTCTGCCAAAATCATGAACATCTATCCATGCCCCAAGTGTTATACTGAAATGCACAGTCTCCAACGCTAATGCAGACTTATTTTATCACCTTCCCACGAGTGCAAACCAAACCCGTGAGGCGTGAAGCCATTGTGAATAATGTTAATAAATGTTGTTGCCTTCGACAGAAGGCTATAGAATCGCTTTTGCACTGTTTTGTAGATTATGCACGATAAAGTTTGAAGGCATGGTCCATGGCTCACGATTTTTGGCAGGCAAATTGTCTTACTAATGGGCATTGTGATGGCCAGAAATGGGCTTCGGGGGGGGAGGTTCTTACGTGACTGGAGCTGACTTTTGTGTTTGCGTTTTTTGTTCTTCCTCAGATAACTCGGGAATCGTTAAGTGCCTGTCTATGATTTTCAGTGGGCAAGTCGCCGTTGAGGATACGGAGGTCAAGTTCGAAGGTGGGCCGTGGGGG